CCTACTTCCGTAGTGATACTGCCTCGGAAACCCAAGGAGGGGTCGCTATGAGTCGGGGCCGACTCGACGGCACATAACAACAACAACAACAATATGATCTTCAGTTAACCAGAATACCATAATTACCAGATCCATTTTAATCAATATTAGCATGTCTATAATCTTTCAAAATGGCACCCATCTTATTGAACGAAGGTTTCTGATAGGAAGGCTTTCCCTGGATCAGGTGTTTTCATTTATTAACAGTCAACTAAGAAACAAAGACTCTTGGTCTCAGCCTCCTGATCGTTACCTTAATCTCTACAAGTGGAGAATAGATGATGGGCTGAATCCGACTGAGCTCAGCTTCCCTTGATGCCTCCCTCTCCTCTATAATTTCCCATGACCGGTCAAACAGAAGGTTCACCAGCTTGTTGATCATTCGATAAGGCTGAGGCAGGGAATCCAGTTCCTGATCTGGATCCTTGAAGCCATAATCCTCTTCATCATCCTTAGACCAGTCCTTCTCTGATGTGGAGGGCACCTCCAGCGGTCCCTTTTGTGTATAAATGGGTCGCTTCATCTTCCAGGTCTGATTTTCTTTAGGGGATGACAACACAAAAGCAGCACTGGGAATTTCTATGACACTCTAAAAAGCAGATAAAGGAAGTAAGCTAAGGCATTCTGAGAAAAAGAGAAGCAACTGGAAGACAGCACACCATTTTCTCCAGCACAACAGCCCATAAACCAAAATCATACCCACTGCCAGTGAGTCAATTCCAACACAAAGCGACCCTACAGGACAGAGAAGAACAGTCCCCCAGGGTTCCAAATCTGTAGATCTTTATGGAAGCAGACTGCCTCATTTTTCTCCTGTGGAGTGGCTAGTGGGTTCAAATTGCTGACTTTTGGTTAGCAGCCAAATGCTTTAACCACTAGGTCCCCAGAGGTTCACAATAGCCCATGGACACTATTTATTTCAGAGACTGACACTTTCCTTATTCATCAAAGGATTGTACCACACTACTAGGACATGCTCTTCTTATTAAGGTTGTCAGCAGAGATAGATATTGATAGGTCTGGTAGCATAGTGCCTAAGGCATTTGACTGCTAACCAGAAGGCTGGCAGTTCAAACCCACCAACTACTCCTTGGAAGGAAGATGAGGCAATCTACTTCCATAGTGATACTGCCTTGGAAACCCAAGGAGGGGTCGCTATGAGTCGGGGCCAACTTGACAGCACATAACAACAACAACAACAACATGCCAACCCAAGATGGCATATGCTATAACAGGAGAGAAATTTGGGATCCTTGTCTTCCTTCACCTCCTCATAAAAGAGTAGTTGTCTTCCTGTCCCAAATAGAGTCCACCCTCCCTCCCACAACTTAAGTCTTCTGCTGTTTTTCCATCTCTGCAAATGGCTACACTCAAGCTAACCAGGCAGTCAGCCATGACTCTCTAGCCTTCCTTTCCCTCCACCCTCCAACTGGAGGCCAGTTCATGTACTTCCAATCCTTGCTGTTTAATTTGCTTCCTTCTCTATTCCCACTACTGCCATCCAGGAGTTCTGTAGGCACAGTACTCAGGACCTATGAGATTTTTCAGAGGTCTACAGAAATGTTTGAGACATAAAAATAAATTTTATTGACTTGAAGAAAAGAATAAGATCAAAATAATTAAATACTTAAAAAAATGTTTACAATTTATAACCTCCACTCTGTGTATGTAAATGGAATGAATTATCTGTACTTTAGAAAACTCGAAATTGTACAAATTATAAAAAGGTATTCAACATCAACATGTTACCAAAAAAAAAAAAGGCATTTAATATAGTATACATCTTAAGATGCTTACTATGTAGTGGGGTAGAATCTTACAATGGGCCTGGGGCCCATGAAAGTCTTACAAAGGCCCTAAAGTCATCATCTCTACTCACCTGGATGATTGCACAAGCCCCTACCTAGGCTCCTGGTGGGCAGCCTTAGCCATCTATCCTTTCTCCACACTGTACCAGAATGACTTTTCCAAATCTGTCACTCTTTTAACAGTTCCACCATTGCTGAGCTAGAGTCGTCAACCGGGCATCTGTGAGCCTCTGCTGCCAGGCCCCTGCTGCCTCTTAACCTCACCTCTAGGCAGCTTTTCCCATCCTCCCTGCCTCAGTCATACTGTGCACTGTGAAGATCCCCACCAAAGACATTCTTCCTGCTTCTTCTCTTTCCTCCCCTTTCAATCTATTCTTAATCCACAGCCACAATGCTCCTATTAAAAGAAGATTATTTGCCATCAACAGATGAACCAAAATGAAACCCATTGCTATCGAGTTGATTCTGACTCACAGCAACCCTACAGGACAGAGAATTCCCCATATGGTTCTAAGTCTGTAAATTTTTATGGAAGCAGATTGCCTTGTCTTTTTCCTGCAGAGCAGCTGTTGGGTTTGAACCTTTGACCTTCTGGTTAGCAGCTGAATGCTTTAACCCCTGTGTCAACAGATGAATAGGTGTAGTATATACATACAATGGAATATTATCCAGCCATATAGAGAAGCTTTTTTCATTGCTGATGTGGCATGACTCAAAATGAGAGGAATCAGCTGCAAACATCCACTAATAATCAGAACATGGAATATATGAAGTATGAATCTAGGAAACTTGGAAGTCCTCAAAAATTAATGGAATGCATAAAGATCAATATCCTAGGCATCAGTGACCTGAAATGGACTGGTATTGGCCATTGTGAATTGGACAATCATATGGTCTACTATGCCAGGAATGATGGATTGAAGAGGAATAATAATATGGTCTACTATGTTGAGAATAACAAACTGAAGAGTAATGGCATCACATTCATCATCAAAAAAAACATTTCAAAATCTATCCTGAAGTACTATGTCATCAGTGATAGGATAATACCCATATGCCTACAAAGAAGACTAGTTAATATGAATATTATTCAAATTTACTCACCAACCACTAATGCCAAAGATGAAGAAACTGAAGATTTTTACCAACTTCTGCAGTCTAAAATTGATCAAACATGTAATCAAGATGCATTGATAATTACTGATGATTGGAATGTGAAAGTTGGAAACAAAGGAAGAGGATCCGTGGTTGGAAAATATGACCTTGGTGACAGAAACAACACTGGAGATCATATAAAAGAATTTTGCAAGACCAATGAGTTATTCATTGCAAATTCTTTTTTTTTTTTTTAACAACATAAATGGCCACTATGCAAGTGGACCTTACCAGATACAGGAATCAAACTGACTACATCTGTGGAAAAAGACAATGGAGAAGCTCAATATCAGTCACAGCAAGACCAAAGGCCAACTGCAATTGCTCATATGCAGGTTCAAATCGAAGCTGAAGAAAATAAAAATAAGTCCATGAGAGCCAAAGTACAACCCTGAATATATCTTACTTGATTGAATTCAGAGACAATCTCAAAAGTAGATTTTATGCATAAAACCCTAATGACTGAAGACAAGATGTGTAATGACACATCATACATGAACAAAGTAAAGAGTCATTAAAAAGACAGGAATGAAAGACTAAAACAGTTGTCGGAAGAGACTCTGAAACTTGCTCTTGAACACAGATAGCTAAAGTGAAAGGAAGAAATGACAAAGTAAAAGAACTGAACAAAAGATTTCACAGGTGGTTCAAGAGGACAAAGTAAAGTATTACAGTGAAATGTGCAAAGATCAGGAGTTAGAAAACCAAAGGGAAGAACATACTCAGCATTTCTCAAGCTTAAAGAACTGAAGAAAAAAATCAAGACTTGAGTTGCAATACTCAAGGAATCTAAGGACAAAATAGTGAACAACCCAGGAAGCATCACAAGAAGATGGAAGAAATATGCACAGCCACTGTACCAAAAAGAACTGGTCAAAAATCAACCATTTCAGGAGATAGCATATGATCAAGAACCAATGGTATTGAAGGAAGAAGTCCCAGAAGTGCACTGAAGGCATTGGCAAAAAACAAGCCTCCAGGGACTGATAGAATACCAACTGTGATATTTCAACAAACAGATAAAACACTGGAAGTTTTCACTTGTCTCTGCCAAGAAATTTGGAACGCAGCTACCTGCCCAATCGACTGGAAGAGATCCATATTTGTGTCCATCCCAAAGAAAGGTGATCCAACAGAATGTGGAAATTATCAAACAATATCATTAATAATATACATAAATAAAATTTTGCTGAAGATAATTCAAAAACGGTTGCAGCAATACAATGACAGGGGATTGCCAGAAATTCAAACTGGATTCAGAAGAGGATATGGAACAAGGGATATCATTGCTGATGCCAGATGGGGCTTAGCTGAAATCAGAGAATACTGGAAAGATGTTTACCTGTGTTTTATTGACTATGCAAAGACATTCAAGTGTGTGGATCATAACAAATTATGGATAATATTGCAAAGAATGAGAATTCCAAAACTCTTAATTGCGCTCATGCAGAACCTGTACATAGTCCAAGAAACTGTCATTTGAACAGAACAAGGAGATACTGCATGGTTTAAAATCAGGAAAGGTATGTATCAGGGTTGTATCCTTTCACCATACTTATTTAATCTGTATGCTGAAAAAATAATCTGAGAAACTGGACTATATGGACAACATGGCTTCAGGATTGGAGGAAGACTCATTAACAACCTGCAATATGCAGATGAAACAACCTTGCTTGCTGAAAGTTAAGAGAACTTTAAGTACCTACTGATGAAATATGGATTATACTATGGAATATACCTCAACCTAAAGAAAGCAAAACTTCTCACAACTGGACTGATAAACAGAAAAAATATTGAAGTTGTCGAGGATTATATCTTACTTGGACCCACAATCAACACCGATGGAAGCACCAGTCAAGAAATCAGATAACATATTGCACTGGGAAAATCTGCTGCAAAAGAGCTCTTGATAAGTGATAAGTGTTCAAGTACTTGATAAGTTTGATAAGTGTTCAAAAGCAAAGATGTCACTTTGAGGACTAAAGTGCACCTGACCCAAGCCATAGCATTTTCATGCATACAAAAGCTGGAGAGTGAATAAGAAAGACCAAAGAAGAATTGACGCATTTGAGTTATGGTGTTAGCAAAGAATACCGAATATACCATAGACTGACAAAGAACAAATCTGTCTTGGAAGAAGTTTAGCCAGAATGCTCCTGAAAAGGAAGGATGGTAATACTTTGCCCCATATACTCTTTTTCTTTTCTTCTATTTTAAGAGCTTGTTTTACATTCAATGTTAGGTGTACATTTAGTTTCAGTCCCCATTTACCATGTCCAGCCCTACCCAGTCTCCTCCCCTCCCTACCCAGTAACCCTCCCCCTGTGCCCTCATATTTATGCACTCCTGTTTGTCCTGCATTTCCTCAATTTGAATGTTGGTCCTCTGGTGTCCCATGGTCTATTGCTCTAAGGAATGTATTACCATAGAGTATGTGGGTGCGTCATCCTGATGCCATATTCCTCTGCATATAGTCCAGTCCAGCTGCTGTGGTATCACCTACCAAATCTTAGATGCTAGAAGATCTAAGTAATTTAAGTACATTCCATAACAACCTCAA